AGCTGGGACCACAGGCGCCCGCCACAACGCCCGGCTATTTTTTGGTTGCAGCCGTCATTGTTGTTTGGCGGGTCCGGGCTGGGGATCCGAACCCGCCACCTTAGGTGTACGTGGCTGGCGCCTTAGCCGGTTGAGCTATAGGCGCCGAGCCAGGTCTGTACTTTCAAATGAACAAAAGCTGTGTTTTAAAAATTCACCCCAACATCCTGTCCAGTCGTAATTCCTTCAGGTATCCACGTCAATGGTTTGTATATGTTTATCCATTTATTTCTGAGATGAGGTCTCATTGTATTTCCCAGGCTAGTCCCCAAATCCTGGGTTCAAGTGACCTTCGTATCTCAGCCTTCCCAGTAGTTGGGACTACAGGAAATACCACTTCGCCCAGCTGAAATTAATATTTATACCTCAAATTTACCAACATTGGCACACAACAGACCTTAAATAAACGTTTGCTGAGTAAATGAACCTACCAAAAAATGTATCTGTCTACAAACTCAGGTAGATGTATGAAATAATCCAGTGAAATGTAGATACATCTGTTGAGATTTTTTTCCCTTTTTTTTTTCTTTGCAGTTTTTGGCTGGAGCTGGGTTTGAACCCGCCACCTCTGGCATATAGGGCCGGTGCCTTACTCATTTGAGCCACAGGCGCAGCCCCTATTGGGATTTTTTTTCATAGTAGTTTTTGTTAGTGAATAATTATGGATTTGGTCACAACAAGAAACATTGCCTTGTTGAAAGGAAAACAGCAAAAAAGCTGTTCTACATAGTTTTTGGACTGTTTGCAACACTCTGGAGATAACTGGGACTTTAGGGGGAAAATGACAAGCAGGGTAATCTGTTTATTTTATGACGTACTGTATACTCTGGGATATATGAAAGTCAAAATGAGATGAATAAAATCAGAACAATACCAAGATCCATAGGAACAGCATGAAGTTTATATCTACTTTCAAGAGGTACTGAGATAGAGTTTAAATTTCAGTAAGTCAAGAAGAAAAGCCTTAGGGCCCCAGTTACCAAACACTGGAACCACTTGGGGATTTTTTAAAGACATGCTGATGCCCAGCCCCAAACGTTCTGGTTTAGCTGGCTGGGATTTTTAAAGCTCCACAGGTGATTCTAATGTGCAGCAATTCTGAAAACCACTGCTCCAGGTTTTTTTTTTTTTTGAGACAAGAGTCTCACTTTGTCATCCTTGGTAGAGTGCTATGGTGTCATAGCTCACAGCAACCTCAAAGTCTTCGGCTCAAGTGATTCTCTTGCCTCAGCCTTCCAAATAGCTGAGACTACAAGTGCCCACCACATCACTCAGTTATTTTTTAGAGATGGGGTTTCACTCTTGCTCAGGTTGGTCTCAAACTCCTGAGCTTAGGCAATCCACCCACCTCGGCCTCCCAGAGTGCTCGGATGACAGGCATGAGCCACGGCACTTGGCCTTGCTCCAGTCTTCTTATTTTTTAATTTTTTTTGAGCTAGAGTTTCATTATGTCACCCTCAGTAGAGTGCTGTAGCATCATAGCTCACAGCAACCTCAAACTCTTGGGCTTAAGCGATTCTCTTGCCTCAGCCTCTCAAGTAGCTGGGATAAAGGGGGCCTGCCATGACACCCAGATATTTTTTGTTGCAGTTGTCAGTATTATTTAGCTGGCCTGGGCTGGGTTTGAACCCACTACCCTTGGTGCATGTGGTTGGTGCCGTAACCACTGTGCTATGGGTGCCAACTCCCCAGGCTTCTTAAATACGTTGACTCCCAACAACTTACACCTGAGGCCTGAGTATCTTCAGCTGGGTGAGGATATCCTTCTGCACCCTGGGGTTGGCTGTAGCAGTAAGAGCCATCACTGGGACAGAAGGAAACTTCTGGCGAAGCATGTTCATTCTTTTGTAATCTTGACGGAAATCATGTCCCCACTAGTTGGGAAAAAAAATACTGCTTTTCAGGCTCTTTAAATCTTCCTTTTATAAAAAGGCAACATTGATTATTATATTAAGAACCATCTTATTTTTTGGCAAAACAGCAGACTAGTTCACTCAATGTGAGTTTTTCTTTAGTTCTGAAAATACATATATTGTTGGTAATATGCATTTTTTGATATTTCAAGACATAAAAAACTGTTCTTACCTGACTGACACAATGTGCTTCATCAATAACAAAACGTGCCAAGAGTTTCCTCTCATACAGATTCTCCAGAGTAGAAATCAGCCTATTACTTGCACAGACCTAGGCCAGAAACATGTCAGACATTTAAAATCATCCAGATATACCCCCTTATTGATTCTGTTGTCTTTAAGCTACATTACAGCTTAAGCTATATACAAAACTTTATGTAAAATTGGTTATTTTCATTTTTTTTTTTTTTTTTTGGAGACAGAGCCTCAAGTCGTTGCCCTGGGTAGAGTGCTGTGGCATCACAGCTCACAGCAACCTCCAACTCCTGGGCTCAAGC